CCGAAACTTCAGTAAAGCTGGCATGTTCAAAATTATTCTCTGATGATGTGAGCGGAATTTCTTCTGTAGGAGGTTTATCCTGCACATTAGTAATGGTTTTGATACAATTCTCTTCGGAGCGGGGTATTTTGAGTCTGCTTTCCTCAATAATGTATTCTAATTTTGCTATCTTGGATCTGAGCTCTATAATTTCAGCATCTCGCTTAACATTCCCTTCATTGAGTTCGGTATCTCTTAATTTCGCGTTCTCTACACTTTCTTTTGTGGGTTGTTTTAACTCCATTATTCTAGCCATAAACTCTGCTTCCTTAGCTAAGAATTCTACCTTCTCCCTTTTAAGTTCAGTAATCTCAGCTACAAGCTTGAAAAATTTTGCTCTTCGAGCAAATCTATTTTAGATTGTGGGTTTATCAATCATTTTTTATAAAATGCGGATTATTCATATTAATATAACTCGTACATATAATAAGTCACATGATACAAACCGTTCCCTAGGGGAACAATCAGATATGAAAAATTCACTAGGTGATGATCAATATAGTCACGTGTAACCAATGAATTACGTTTTTTTTTTAGGAGTTCTCGTGATTCGGAAATTTCAATACCACACGTTTGCCGTGTACAGAGAACAACTGCCCTGTCACTTATTTTTGGTAATGAGACAACAAATTCATCATGATACTTTCTGTTTAGAACTCTTGGAATTCTGAAGTCACTTTTTTTGCGGGAATTTTTAATAGAATGCGTTACTAGATTTCTAGAAATGTACGTGTAAAATAAATTCGGAATAAAACTCCATATTATGTGATACATTATTCTAAATCGAAACCAGATTCACCAAATATCATTGTCAAATAAATATTTAAATATTTAAATGAAACGCTGATTATTTAATCTTATTTTTTCATAATATTTGATGAAATAAAGAATGGATAGAAAATATGATAAATGCTCTGGATGCAATAAAAAAAAGTCCCTTCAATATGGGAACGTAGACTTGTGTACCGGTTGTCATTCTGCACAATTTCAGTCTGTTAATAGCGGGAATTCAGATATTGATAATTTAATTAAAGCAACACAGAGAAATAATATTCAATTTAGGTTAGAATGGATCCCATTTGAAGATTTTATAGATATCCAGAAAGTTGCAGAAGGTGGATTTAGTATGATATTTACCGCTAAATGGAGAAAAGGAAGAGTGAAGAGTTATTCTAAAGGAAAATTTAATCGGACAGGTCCTATAACGATAGTATTAAAAATCCTTAAAGATTCTCAAAATATAAACTCGGCATTTATAAAGGAGGTAAAGTAAAAAAGTTTTTATTTAATTCGTAAACTAATGGGTTATTAAAATACGTCAATTCTTTATATAGTTACAGAATATTACTGAAACCCAACCTAACTCATCTATCCGTAATCTTGTTCATTATTATGGAGTATCGCAACATCCAATAACAAAAAATTATATATTTGTTATGTCTTATATGAAAAATGGAAGTTTGCATGAATATTTATCTAAGCATTTTAATGATATCACATGGATAGACTGGGAAGAAAGTAAAAAAAAATCAAAAGTAAATTTCCTAAGAAGTCTCGTTATTGGAATTAAATGGATTCATAAAAATAAGATTATACATCGCAACATACACAGTGGAAATATCTTAATACATGAAAATAATGATTCATTAATTGCTGATTTGGGATTTAGTCGACCAGCAAATGAGGATCCAGGATTAAGTATATACGGAATTATACCTTATATTGCGCCGGAGATATTTAACAAAAATAAATTTTCATTTAAATCCGATATCTATAGTTTAGGTATAATTATGTGGGAATTAACAACAGGGAATCGTCCTTTTAATGATCGAGCGCATGATGTTATTCTTGCGTTGGATATATGTAGAGGACTGCGTCCTAAAATTACAGAAGATACACCAGAGCCGTGGGCTAATTTGATGAAAAAGTGTTGGCATCAAAATCCTTCACAGAGGCCTTCAATTAGTAAAATATATCAAATAATAAATTCTTCGGAATGGGAGTTTAATGAAGCATTCTACCATGCTGAAAAAAAATTACAAGAAATAAAATCTAGGAAATTGGCAGAAGAACAAAGAATAATGTTCCCTCTAAATAAATCTTATAGTCAGTTATTAGATCCTGTCATAAAAACTACAAGTTATACCTTAAATTTATTTACTATGGCAGAATCATCATTAGGTAATTATCAATTTTTTTATAAACAAAGTTAACTATTATTAACTTACGATGTCGTTCTATAAAAATTCTTTTATAGATTCTTTTTCTATATTTTCTCTTGATGTTTTGAATAATACGTAAGTAAACATTTGACATTTGAAAAATTAAGCATTAAAGACTAATTTTACTATCTAATATTTTATCCAGTTCCGAACTTATAAAAAGCGCCGATAGTTTAAATTATAGTAAAAATTCATCGACTTCATTAAAGCACACCATATTAAATGATAAAACTAGTAAGTTTTAATTTTAAATTTGATAAATAGATATTTATTATTAAGCTTACATAATATTGCATGTAATAGGCCAAATAAAACGTAGAAAATTAAGTAATTATCAAGAAACAACCATATGCGAAGGTATTATACTTTATATTCAAATTAGTTATTGCCTAATTATTAATTATATAATTTAACGCAATTTGACTCTTACGTTATGTAAAATATTAGAACCAAAATTGATCAAAAGTAATGGTAATTACGTTACCAATTTCTTTAATACGTTTAAAAAGTCACTTAATATTTAAACTTTCGCATTATCAGATAAACCGGCATCATATTTACCTAATCCCAATAAGTTTATGTTGAGCCGTGATGGGGAAGCTTTGGCCGATTATCTATGCGGAGATATTACTGTAACTGAGTTAGACATGAGTGATAAAGGGTTACACTATAACGTAGTCAGAGGGTTGATTGTAGGTTTAAGTAAGAATGTTACCTTGACTAATTTAAACATAAGAAATAATGGAATAGAAGAATCGGCAGGAAAAGCACTGGCCGAGGCACTATGCAAGAATATCACACTGACTGAGTTAGATATGAGTTTGAATAATATAGGAGAATCGGCAGGAAAAGCACTGGCCCGGGCACTATGCAAGAATACCACCCTGACAAATATAGGTATAAGTGAGAATCGAATAGGAGAATCGGCAGGAAAAGCACTGGCCGAAGCACTATGCAAAAATACCACCCTGGCCAATTTGAATCTAAATAATAACAATTTAGGAGAATCAGCAGGAAAAGCACTGGCCGAGGCACTATGCAAGAATACCGCCCTGACCAATTTGAATCTATATAATAACAATTTAGGAGAATCAGCAGGAAAAGCACTGGCTGAGGCACTATGCAAGAATACCACCCTGACAAATATGGATATAGGTCGGAATCAAATAGGAGAATCGGCAGGAAAAGCACTGGCCGAGGCACTATGCAAGAATACCACCCTGACCCATTTGAATCTATATAATAACAATTTAGGAGAATCAGCAGGAAAAGCACTGGCCGAGGCACTATGCAAGAATACCACCCTGACCAATTTAAATATAGGTAGGAATCAAATAGGAGAGTCGGCAGGAAAAGCACTGGCCGAGGCATTCATTATGTAAATATTACTTTGACAGATTTTGAAAAATAGACATTTTTAAAATTATTATATGGAGTAAATTAAATAATTAAATATAAAAGAAAATTTTATAACACGCTAAATATATTATACTGTATAACTTCCTTTCAAAAAATATAAATTAATCGATTGTTTGACCAAATTAAAATTCTTAACGATATACTGTATTACAGTAGGAATATAAACTTTTTTTATCATGTCGTTTTATATATTATACACGATAGAAGTAAACATTAAGATTGATAAAGATATGCATAGCAAGCAGCCGAAAGTACAGTTATAAAAATTTTCATAAAACTTGATTCGTATACTTGCCTAAAAATAACAACAACACCACTAGGCATGATTTTTTTGCTTATGTAAAAACGGAAACCCATTACAACAAGCAACAAAACCGAAACAACAGCATAGAATAAAGACGTGTAAGCGACCAGAAATAATACGGGAAACATAAGAATATAAGGTGATCTCTTACTGCAACGTTTTTTGAATTGTTGCCTAAGGATTTATTTGAATTTTAGCAAAAACTTACAGCGATGTCTGATATTGTATGATAAATTTTTTAGTAAAAAATCCTCAAGTAAATCCTTAAATTATTGTTATAAATATGAATTCAGTACAATGATAGTTCGAAAAGAGCAAATTTATGGTTAATCCCCTTACTGGCTTTTAAAAATGTTGCAAAGCTTAAGCGTATCCAATACAACCTTTTCATGATAAGTTTATTGAGAAGAAAGTCGACTAGTTGGTTCTACGTACATTAGCTCACAGAAAAAAAATCCTGTTTTAAACTTTAATACAGTGCATTAATTCCAAATATTAAAATATTACAGACTATAAAATAATATAAATTTATTAGCACTTCTCATTTAGTATACCTATCCTAAGGTTTGATAGCATGTATCAATTGCTTTTTAGAAAAATCAATTTTATCCATGTTATTTTAATATTTTCCCAAATCTTTTACTATATTTATTTGTATATAAAGTATACATTTGAAAGAAACATCTCTCACATGTATTTGCAGTAAGCTTAATACTAGCTTACCTACAATAATCATTAACTAGTATTGAAAAAAATCCTTTTAACAATAAAAATAGCTAAATAATATCAAACAGTTATGAATATTTACTTAGAATTAAGAAAATACAGAAGGTGTCCATATATTGTGAACACTTTTTATTATATAATAAAAAAATTTTTTAATAAAAAAAATTAAATTTATTTTTTTATTTTTATTTTTTTAACTGCGAACAGAGCAAGAGATGCAAGACTTTTATTAATTATATATTTTAAAATTTATACAATTATAAGATCAAAAGATCAAG